TCAGCAGGAGATCAGACAAGACAGTGATGGTGGCCCCTTCTCATCATGGAGATTAGGAGGCAGTATTTACGCATTTTGGCAACTATTTGCCAACATGAAGATACTAGGCCAATAAAAATATAGAAGAATCTATTATTTCGTCTATGTAGGCAGATGTGCATCAGATTTCAGCCCTATTTTCCAATGGTTGAGGGAAGCTTTGTGACATTAACAAACCAGTTGACTTTGTCTAGAAAGATCCTTTTCCGTAACCCCAATTTGCACAGAAATGAGAAGAGATTGAATTTTTCCTTCTTTCTCTCCATTGTATTTTTGCAGAGCAATTTGAAGAGGAAATGGGTGAGCATGTCTTGTTACCTGGCCACATTTACACAGTTTTGGGAGAGAGCAAAGAAGAGGATCCCAACCAGAAGTCCCTGGAGCCCCTGTTCATCAGGAGCTCATTCCTCCAATGGTCCTTGTACAGCATCTCAGAGGGGAGAGAATGAAGGGCAGTCTAACAATGGGCACAGCTGCCCACTCCATGCACTGGATAGAAATGCTGCCTGGCAGAGCTCTGGAGGCAGGAGACAGGAGGACAGAATTGCTAGAGCTGTGCCTGAGATGCAAGAGCTTAGTCCATGTAGACACACCACACAGCCACAGGAACACGGAGAAAACAGTGTCCCCTCTCACAGAGTTCCCAAGATTCCTCTCCCCGCCACCTATATAAAGAAAGTGTTATGAGGCTCTGCCGGCTCTGACCAGGGTTTCAAATCCCTTTAATCCAACATTTTGTTGAATTTCACAGTAATATGTGCTAGGGAATGTACCAAAGAATGGTATAAAATGCTGTCGGCATTGGCTTTGATTACAGATGTGGTGAATTAGGACTTAGGTCAATGATGGCCTATGTTCACCATTGCTATGGCCCTCCACATCAATTACTTGGATATTTGCCAAGAGGGGGGCTCTTTTCCTGTCTCTCCTCTGTCTCTTGGCTGCCTCTGGTAGGGAAGTGGATCCTGACTGTACATTTTCATCCTTAGCCTTAGCACTGTATCTCTCCACACTGCTCACCAATTGTGGCTTTCTCTCTGTTGTACATCTGAATCTGTGGGGAAGAACAGAGCCACTGACATATTGGCCACTCCAGGTCATGCCCCAAACTCTTCATTAGTCACTATTGGAAAGCCAAAGCACATTTTACACCAATATCTGTTAGTGATGATCAGTCACCCAAACTTTAATCATCATTACCACAAATTATTTCAGCTATCTAATTATCAAGTTGCCTTGCTCTTTTTTAACTTAAAGACAACACGGGTTTTGTACACTGTAATTCATTTACTGAGAGTCTGTAAATCTATGGTATCAGCGAAAACACTGAAGATGTTTTTAAAAGGAGTCGTTATTGATGTAGTCTTTTCTTTTTTCTAGGTAAATTGAGGAATAAATTAGGTGAGTGACAACCCATGTACTAGTTGCCCTCTGTGAGTATGTACATGGGGAACAAATATTTGATAATAGCCTCCTTAATCAGGAAGAGAAAGGTGCAACAAGTTCTAAAGGCTGGAAGCGAAGCTAAAGACCCTCAGATTGGAAATAAAATGTCTATATATGAGTGAGATTTATGGGCAATTGGAAAAATTTACAACGTTTCCTGGCAGATTTTCTATCCCTGATCTTTTAAAAAGCATGGTTGTGTGGTTTTCCATAGAAGATCATCTCTAAATGAATTGAAAACTGGTGTCATGAGCATTCATGATTGTTAGGTTGGGTGATGGGAACACATTTTTGTATGGGTAGACCTGAGAAATACACCCATTAACTTACTGAAAAATGTTTCATTCCCCAGATACAGAAAGGACAATAGGTCGTGCTGAGCCAGGTAAGATTTACCTTGTCTATCTGAGTGCATTTGAAATAAATTTTTTTAAATCATTTATTTGAAAGCTTACTTTTCCATTGTTTTCTGAGTAAATCTGTTATGATTTCTTGCCTGTTTCGTTCTTCGGCTTGAAGTCCAGTGCAGACCGTAAGGGCACCACATTTAACAACATTATCTGATTTTAAAATATGAAAGTGATGATATCCTAGCTCAAAAGGCATTGCACCCAGCACAGGGTAACCATGCTTTGGAAGCTGTTGTGCCTGGTAAAGAAAATGAATTAGTGGGGATGGTAATGATGGTTGAAGCTGGATGTAACTATATTTAATATGGGAAAAGGGCAGTCTCAGCATGTTTTGCAGGTAGTCAGGGCTTCCAATGAGCTATTTTCCGCAAATATCGCTTATTTCCACCCTGATGGGAATATGCAACAAGTCTCCATGACAGCTAGAACAGTCGGTAAAAGCTCTGTGCCCATCACCTGTTATTGCCCATATCTATTGTACTACCTAAAGAAAGGATCCCATTCACCATCTGGTTTTTGACCAGGGATGGGCAAAACACAGCCCCCCCCCCAAGAGAAATCCAGCCTGCCAAATCACCTGATCCAGCCTGCAGATTCAGCGGGACCCTCAGTCCAAGTCCCTGAGTATCTCCCGCCCGCTTGCTGCTTGGAGCAGCTATTTGAATTCTTTGAGTTCACAGGGGAAGGAGGCCTCACCCTCTGTATCCGCTACCTGCATGATGTCATTGGTCAGTTTCTGGCCAATGGGATCTCCCTCTTTGCAGGACAGGCAATCAGTAAATGAACCCTCCTCCCTCCCTCTGAGCTCAAAGCATTCAGAGGTGACATGGCCCCTGCCTGGCTGAGGAATTTGCTAGGGAGTCCTATTGGTCAGGAGCCACCCAAGTAAGTACCTCCCAGTTAGATCCTGCTTTTGTCCCTCTCACCCAGCCCTCTGCCCCTCTCCTGTGCCCAAACCCCAGGTAATCCAAACCCTTTTGTTTTAGCAAGATCAGACTAACACAGCTACCTCTCTATTACTATTCTAATCAGGCAGTACAGCTTTCAGTATTGGTTTTCAATTATTATTAGTTACCTTCCTCTTTATTATGGTAGACTCACAGATGTACAGTCAGACATGCAGGACCATTGTGTGTCATAGTTGCCTTTTTATTAATTAGTAGTTACTAATTTTGTGTATATATATATATATATATATACAGATAACTGTGGTTTCTTCTAGACTTAGATTGTGGGATGCACATTGTCTCATCTACTCCCTCACAACTATTCTCTAATCAGGCAGTACAGCTTTCAGAATTGGTTTTTAATTATTATTAGTTACCTTTCTCTTTGGCTGTATTATGATAAAATGTGCTATTTTTATTAATAGAGACATTTTCATTTTTAGAAAACTGGGAGAAGAAAATAAGTAAGTCTGTGTCCATTTTTTTCTTCTTTTCGCTCTAATGACATGTGAGTGTCTTTAATCAGGAAAAGTAAATGGCTCATTCTTTATTAACCACTGCTCCTTTCTTCTGCTTATGCTGGAGATGTTTTTAAATCTTACTTTGCTAGCACCATAGGTGAATATTTGTTATATGTTGTTGAAATTTAAATAGACTTTCCCATTATTATTTTGAATCCCACAAGAACCTTAAAACCTCGTACACAGAGACAAAGAATAATCGATAATGAGCATGTAAAAGGACTCTGCACTGACATGGAAACAGAATACAGGCTGTGATACCAGGAGTGTTACTGCACATTTCCCAGCAGATACTACGTATTAAAGAAGATTCATTTGTCTTACTTGCCTCTTTTAATAATTAGCTGTGGTCGTGAAGTTTATTATTTCATTTATTAAAAAGATAGAATCTTGTCTTTCCGCTATGTAGGGGAATGGGCATGAGATGACATCACAGATCCAATAGTCAGAGAAGGTTCTGTGTCTTTCACCAACCATGGCCCATATTTATAGTACTCATTAAAGAAATAATCCTATTCGCCCCATTCAGTTTGTAGCTAAATGAACATTCATTGAACTCTTTTCTGCTTCTCCCCATTTGTCTCTTACAGAGGATCTCGAGGATAAAATGGGTGAGTTTGACTAGTTTACTGAATGGTTACAGTCTACATAACAAAAATTGCTCCAACTTCTCCAGCTTCTGCAGGGATATTCTTATATTGCTTGTGTTCAGTGAAGAGGGACAGAGTATATCCTACCAATGTTACTGGCTCTTTTCTTTGTCTCTTTAGAAAAAAAAAGTTGCCAAGGCTATATTACAGGGGGGTGGTGACTGAAGATGAGGAAGCAAAATACTGAGATTACAAATAAGGTGTCATCTTTACCAGTGAGAGTAATTAGATCTGAGAACAGATAAACAAAGTGTGTGCTCCACCATTCCAGTTTTTGCAATCAGATTTGATTGTTTTTCTTAATGATCAGTTCTCGTTCAAAACAGTTCTATAGCTTTTGTTTTACCTAATTGTTTACATTAGGTTTAATAATAAATAAAAGTTTTTATTGAGTATAAAAAGTAGGACTGAAGTGACTGCAGGTTAAAACAGACAGATTAAAGTAAATTACTAGTGTAAAATATACAAAGCACACCAGTTATCCCTAATAAACTAAGATAATATGTCACAAATAATATTTTGGACCCTACTCCTTATTTCAGGTAAAATCCTTCAAGTGACGACTGATCTTTCCTCTGGCCAGGGTATAAGAGTTTCTTGTCTATTATCTTACAGTGGGGGAGGCAATTTCAAGAGCCAGATGAAGATGATCATTGATGGCTTCCCATCTCTTAAATAGAATTTCCCTAGAAAGGAAGTCTTTTTTTCCATTTTCCCCATCCCAATGGAAAAAAATTCACATTCAAGATGGATTCCAGCACCAGGTGGCGAGGTCACATGTCTTTATAGAGTCAGCCACAGTTTATGGGAAAAACAAAGCCATTTAGAAATCATTGTCTTGAATGACCAGGATATTAAATTCCTTAAATACCACTAACAGCTTTCATTGGAAAAACTAGAAAAACAAAGAATAGTCTGTCAGTACCTTAAAGACTAACAAAACATTTAGATGGCATCATGAGCTTTTGTGGGTACAACCCACTTCTTCAGATAAATGGAGGTTTTTTTATTTTTTATTGATTTTAAGTTTAGCCAGTTGCAGACTAACTCAGCTACCCTTTTGAAGCTTTCATTAGAATACCTAGAATTAAAAAATGGATTGCCACTTAATATTCCTAATGTCAGAGGGGTAGCCATGTTAGTCTGAATCTGCAAAAACAATGAGAAGTCCTGTGGCATCTTAGGGTGTGTCTAGACTACCTAGTTTTGTCGACAAAAGTGGACTTTTGTCGACAAAACTATACCAGTATCTACACTACCGCTGAGTTCTGTCGACATAACGTCGACAGAACTCAGCAGTTTTGTCGACGCTCGTATACCTCATTTTACGAGGCATAACACCTTCTGTCGACAGAACTCTGTCGACAGAAGGTGTTATTGCCTGTAACACTGCGTCCAGACTACGGAGTTCTGTCGACAAAGCAGCTTGCTTTGTCGACAGAACTCAATGTGTCTGGACGCTCTTTGTCGACGGAAGTTTTGTCGACAGTATCTGTCGACAAAACTTCCGTCGACAAAACGCGGTAGTCTAGACGTACCCTTAGGGTGGGTCTAGACTACAGGGTTTTGTCGACAAAAGTCCACTTTTGTCGACAAAACTATACCTGCGTCTACACTACCGCCGAATTTTTTGTCAACAAAACCTTGGAGTCTAGACACACCCTTGTGACATGTTGACAGAACTCAGCAGTTTTGTTGACAGCTATAAACCTCATTCTACGAGGAATAACACCTTTTGTCAACAGAGTTCTGTCGACAGAAGGTGTTATTGCAGCTACACTGTCCTTTGCGTCTACATTGTCATGTCGACAAAGCGGCTTGCTTTGTCAACAGAACTGGATGTAGTCTAGATCCTCTTTGTCAACAGAAGCTTTGTCGACAGTATCTGTCGACAAAGCTTCTGTCAACAAAAGCCTGTAGTCTAGACGTACCCTTAGAGACTAACAAATAAATCTGTGCTATAGGACTTCTCATTTTAATATTCCTAACTTATCATAAAAGAATGATACATGAATATGAATAGAATATACATGTTCAGGTGATTAGTTGTCCTGTTTTTCATAAACCATATTAAAGTTAAGTATATTTATATTCAGAATATATTTCCATAAATATGAGTATCACAGTCATAAGCCTACCTTCTTATCTATGATAATTTATTGAGCTACATGGCTGATTATTGGTAAGAAGATGGTCATGAAATACCAGCACTATGCACTGAATGACTGATAAGGGCTCTGTGAGACTTAGTACCCAGTTGTTATGGAATTTAAAAGGATCCCAGTCCATCTATGCAGTCTGTACAGAAATGGCATGAAGTGATTTTTTTCTTATTTCCCTTACATTTTTCCAGAGAAACTTCAAGAACAGATGGGTGAGTTGGTCGAAGTTACTGAACACAGACACTCAAAAAATCACTTCCTTTATTCTGTGTGGTTTCATAAAGCTCCATAAGCAGCAGAAATACTGTACCATGTTTACATGGCATGGGGAGAGGAGAGCCACCCAAGATGTCTCTGGAGCCCTTTTGCAAAGCTCTCTGCAAAAAGTGTCTAAGGGAGAGGATTAAGGGCAGTCTGAGTTTTAGTACATTTGCCTGCTCCATGAAGTGAGCTCTGGATGCAGCCTTCAGCAAGACAGAGGCTACGTCCGGACTACAGGGGTTATGCTAAAAAATGGCCATTTTTATGCAAAAACCCATGGAGCATCCACACCTCAAGCACATTTTTGTGCAAAAAAATTTACAGTGAAAAGGCAGAACCGAAGCTTTTTTGGCTGTGTCTAGACTGGCAAGTTTTTCCGCAAAATCATCTGCTTTTGTGGAAAAACTTGCCAGCTGTATACACTGGCCGCTTGAATTTCCACAAGAACACTGACGATCTCATGTAAGATTGTCAGTGTTCTTGCGGAAATACTATGCTGCTCCCGTTCGGGCAAAAGCCCTCTTGCGCAAATCATTTGCGCAAGAGGGCCAGTGTAGACAGCACAGTACTGTTTTCCGCAAAAAAGCCCCGACGGCTAAAATGGCGATCGGGGCTTTTTTGTGCAAAAGCATGTCTAGATTGGCATGGACGCTTTTCCACAAAAAGTGCTTTTGCGGAAAAGCATCCATGACAATCTAGATGCTCTTTTCCAAAAATGCTTTTAACCGAAAACTTTTCCATTAAAAGCATTTCTGGAAAATCATGCCAGTGTAGATGTAGCCTTTCAACATGGTTGAAAGTGAAACATGGTTTTTCCTTTTGTTTTTGTGCAAGAATAGTTGCTCATAGAAGGAAGAATACCTATACTGAAAAAAGCTTCCGTTCTGCCATGCCACTGTAAATTTTCTTGAACAAAAATGTGCTTGAGGTGTGGATGTTTTAGCAAGATCAGACTAATATGGCTACCTTTCTATTACTTGCACAAAAAGACGTGTTTAGATGGCATTGGAATGATTTACAAAGTTTCATGGCAGATTGTCTATTACTGATCATTTTAAAAGCATGATTGTGATTGTGTGGTTTTCCTTAGAAGATCACCTCTAAAGGAACTGAACATTTGCATGTCATGAGTATTCATGATTGCTAGATTTGGTGATGGTGAAATGTTTTTGTGAGGATAGACCTGAGAAATATAACCATTTAGTTACTGAAAAATGTTTCATTCCCTAGATACAGAAAGGAAAAGAGGTCATGCTGAACCAGGTTAGATTTACCTTGTTCATCCTAATCCATTTGAAAGAGAATTTAAAAATATATATTTACGCATCTTACTTTTGCATTGTTTCTTGCTAGTTTCATTTCTCTGCTTGAAGTCCAGGGAAGACTGTAATGACATAAAATTTACAAGATTTTCTGCTTTTAAAACATAAAAGTGATATTTCCTAGCTCAGAAGGCATTGCACCCAGCACAAGGTAACCATGCCTGTATACAAATGTGAGAGGTAAAAGTCAATGAATTAGTGGAGACAGCAAGGATGGCTGAAGCCTGACCTAAATACACTTAATATGGAGAAAGGTCAGTCTCAACACATTGTGCAGATAGTCAGGGCTTTCAATGAGCTATTTTCACCAAATATCGCTTGTTTCTGCCCCTTATGGGCATATGCAGCAAGTCTACATGACAGCTAGACCAGTCGGTAAAGGCTCTGAGCCCATCACCAGTTATGGCTCATATTTATGTTACTGCCTGAAGAAACCACCTCATTCACACTCTGGTTTTTGACCGGGGTGGGCAAAATACAGGCCCCAAGACAGATCCAGCTTGTCAAAGCACCTGATCCAGCCTGCAGACTCAACGGGGCCCTCAACCTGGGTCCCTGCCTACCCCTCGCCTGCTTGTTGCTCGGAACAGCTATCTGAATTCTGCGAGTTCACAGAGGAGGGGCTTCACATCCTATAGCCAGCACCAGCACAATCTTTCAGTTCCATTGGTGAGTTTCTGGCCAAAGGGAGCTGCCTATTTTCAGTACAGGCAGTCAGTAAATGAACCCTCCTCTCTCCCTCTAAGCTCACAGCATTCAGATAGGACAGTGCCACTCAGCTAGAACCTGCTTCTGTCCCTCTCAGCCAACCTTCAGCATCTCTTCTGCACCTATAGCTCATGTAACCCAAACCCTCATCACCCCCCACTCCAGTACACACAGCCTATTCCATAACCTAAACCTGTCCTGAGGTCACAACCCTCTCCTATCCTCACAACTCAATCCTCTACACCCACCCGCATGCCAAACCCTGCATTCCAGCCACACCTCACAATACTTTCCCAGATCTCTCACCTCGTCCTACAGCCCTCCTCCAGGACAGAATCCTCTTCTGTACTCACACCTACTCCCAACCTTACACCTTCTGCTCTCCAGTGTCCTGCTCCAGCTCACAACTCCCTCCTTTACCAAAACTCCCTCCTAGATCCCTCTCCCCAATCCCTTAGTCCAAGGTCCCTTCTGAACTCAGCCTCCATTCCAGATCCTCCTTCTCCTCCATTAATATCAGAGAAAGCTGAAGCCCTTGACCATTTCCCAAATACCTGTTGTGACCCTCCCCCCAGCAATTATCACCAGCACTTCAGTTAGACTATGGTGCCCTCACACACAGTTTTGAAGGAACTTTTCTGTGGCGTAGTGCATTTCTGCTGATGCAACACACCTGGAAATACAATTTACAGATCATGTAAGTTCTTAGCTCTTCTATAACAAATGTGTCCATCAATAATATAAATCATGTCTTTGTTTATTCACAGAAAATCTGCAGAAGAGAATGGGTAAGTTTGGGGTGTTTTTTACATTGAAATACTTCAATTGCTCATAAGCCTTTTATGATAGAAAGAGGAAAGATTTAGGGCTAAAATAACTCCCTTCTCTCCTGACATTCACTGGGATTGGAAACAGCACTTAGGACTGCGTGTCACACCTGTGTTGCACTGCTTCGGTTTGCCAATCCACATGGCAAAGGATGGAGTATAGCCAACCTCTGGTGTAAATAGTGCCAGGTTCATGGACATCTTCTGCCATCAACCTAGCTACTGCTCTTCTGACAGATGGGTTATCTGTATTGTCAAGAGAGTCCTTTCTATTCCCAGAGGGACAGTTACTGTAGAGAAGTGCTCTTGAATAGACAAGTCTATGGTAAACCTAACAGGCATACAGGAAGGGAATACGGGTATGGAAATGATTCCTTCTGAAACTTAAAATGGACCATCACATAATGAAAGGAATGTCATTTCATTGCTTCTTTCATGACAGATGTCATTGTAAGTTAGATGTGAACTGGCTCTAAACACTGGCATTGGTCAAAAAATGGAGAAGGGAGGAGTCTGCAAACAATCTGCTCTAGTTGCAACAGGAAATATTTCAGGGCATTCCTCCCCCTGTGTTCCATGGGAGATTAGAGGAGACAATGACTGTGGCCCCTTCTCACATTGGAGACTATGAGGCAGTCTTTACCCATTTTGGCAACTACTTGTAAACATGAAGATACTAGGCGATTAAAAATATACTAGAATCTATTCTTTCATCTACATAAGGATATGTGCACCAAATTTTATCCCTATTTTCTGATGGCTGAGGGAGGCTCTGTGATGTTAACAACCCTGTTATGATTGTATCCAAAATAATTCCATTCCATAACCCCAATTTGCATAGAAATGGAAAGAGACTGAATTTTTCCTTCCTTCTCTCCATTGTGTTTTTCCAGAGCAACTCGAAGAGGAAATGGGTGAGCTTGTCTAGTTCCCTGGCCACATTTACACAGCCTTGGGAGAATACAAAGAAGAGGATCCAAATTAGGAGTCTCTGGAGCTCCTGTGCTTCATGGAGCTAAAGACTCCCCTGCTCTCTGCACATCACCCAAGAGTATGAAGGGCAGTTTGAACCTGGGCACAGCTGCCCGCTCCATGCACTGAATAGAAATGCTGCACAACAGACCTGTAAGGGCAGAGAGCAGGAAGAAAGAACTGCTAGAGCTATGCCTGCACTATAAGAGCTGAGACCATGAAGACACACTACACTGCTGCAGGGTGACACAGAAAACAATGTCCCCCCAGGCTCTGTGTATCTGTAAACCCATGGTATCAGGAAAACACTGAAGAAGTGTTTAAAAGGTTGTCATTACTGATGCAGTCTTCTCTTTTTTCCAGCTGAATTGAGGGATAAATTAGGTGAGTGACAACTCATGTACAGACTTGATATTTTCCTGTATCCTTTCCCTGGAGAAAGGAGCAATTCCTCTGGTCTTTGTTCACTTTCTGAGATTGCCTTCAAGAGGGAAGGGGATCCTGAGAGTGTGTCATCAGCCCTATCATAGCAGGGATAAGGCGGGGCCAAGAATTTCACAAGATTTGGGGAGTCTTTCAGTGACCCAACCCATATTGAAAAGGTCTCATGACACTCTCCCATTACTTACCAGAATTTAAAATCCCTTTAATGACACTTTTTGATGAATTTCACAGCAATATGTGCTACTGAAAGTACCAAACAAATGTTTAAAATACTGACAGTACTACCTTTGTTTACGGCTGTGGTGAATAAGGAGCTATATCAGTGAAGATGTATGTGCACCCTTGCTACGGCCCTCCATACCTATTCCTTGGATATTTATTGAGGGACCCACTTGTGATGTCTCCCCTACCTCTCCTGGGCTGCATCTGAGAGGGAAGGGGATCCTGACTGTCCATTTTCATCCTCAGCCTTATCAGGGAATGTAGCACACGCAGGCAGACAGACTGCATCTCCCCACACTGCTCACCCATAGTGGCCTTCTCCCTGTTCATATGAATCTGTAGAGAAGGACAGAACCACTGATACATTAGCACCTATGGGTTGGACTCTGAACTCGTCATTAGTTGCCATTGGAGAGCCATAGCAAATTCTACCCCAATATCTGTCAGTGATGATCAATCACCCATCATTTCCATGAATTATTCCAGCTATCTATTTATCTAGTTGTCTTGCTCTTTTGTAACTTAAAGTGAACATAGATTTTGCACAGTGTAATTCATTTACCAAGTATCTGTATGTCCATAGTCTCAGGGAAACACTGAAGAAGTGTTTAAAAGGAGTCGTTATTGATGTAGTCTTTTCTCTTTTCCAGGTGAATTGAGGAATAAATTAGGTGAGTGACAACCCATGTGCTGACTTGATATTGTCCTCTCTTCCATTGCTTATACCCGTGGGGAAAGGAGCCATTTCTCTGGTCTCTCTTCTCTTTCCTGTAAGAGGGAAGGGGATCAGGGAGCATTTCTGCAGCAGGCCAATGCTGCTCACACATAGCAGGTTGTATGGGAGATGTGTCCTCCTTCCTGTTACCTGTCTGAGCGTGAGGGGTGAAATTGGAAATATCTCTCTTTGCTTGAGTGTTTAGTCCTCTTAGATGCTATCAGACTTGTTCAGCCATTTCCAGCATTGGCACCAGTTCTGTTCCTAAGGGATTAAAAATTATTCAGGGTCTGAACTAAAGATTTTCAGGTTATTTTTTCATTCTGAACCATTAACTCTTTTGTCATCCAAGTTGTGCAAGAGTGTTATAGACGATACCCCAATCCCGTGCAATACCTAGTGAAAGAACTTATTCAGTTGCAGAAGGTTCAGCAAAGAGTCATGAGAATGACTAATGGATTCCAATATATGCCTTATAATGATTGAATTCTGGAGCTACTGAATTTAACTTAATAATGACAGGGAGTGACTGGTTCACATCTGTGAGTACATACATGGGGACCAAATATTTGCTAATAGCCTCCTTTATCTGGAAGAGAAACGGATAACAATTTCCAATGGCTGGAAGTGAAGCTAAAGAAACTCAGATTGGAAATAAGATGTATATTTATATCAGTAAGATTTATTGGCCATTGGAGAAATTTACATAGTTTCATGGCAGATTTTCTATCCCTAATCATTAAAAAAAACATGATTGTGTGGTTTTGTTTAGATCATCACCTCTAAATGAATTGAAAACTTGTGTGTCATGATCATTCATTATTGTTAGGCTGGGTAATGGTAAGACATTTTTGTGTGAGCAAATCTGAGAAATACACTCTTTTAGTTACTAAAAAATGTTTCATTCCCCAGATACAGAAAGGAAAAGAGGTCTTGCTGAACCAGGTAAGATTTACCTTGTCTGTCCTAATCCATTTGAAGGGGATTAAAATAAATATTTTACTGCTTACTTTCTCATTGTTTGAAACAACATTTAATGGCATTTTCTGTTTTTTAAAAATATATAAGTGATGATTTTCTAGCTCAAAAGGCATTGCGCCCAGCAGAGGATAACCATGCATTCGATGCTTTTATGGCTGGGGGGGAGCAAAGTGGAGTCAGCAATGATGGTTGAAGCCTGACCAAATTACATTAACCATGGGAAAAGATCAGTCTCAACATATTTTGCAGGTTGTCAGGGCTTCCAATGAACTATTTTCCCAAAATATCACCTGCTTCTGCCCTCTATGGCAATATGCAATGTGTCTATATGACTGTGTCGAGTTCTGGTATCCCAACTGAAGAAGTAAACTGACGAATTGGAGACCATTCAGAAAAGAGCAAGTGTGATAACAAATTTGGAAAACATGCCTTCTTTTGGTAGACTCCAGGGTCTCTGTCTTGCTGAACAAGAGAAAGGGTTACTTGATCAGGCTCTTTAAGCAGCAGAGGGGAACAAATGTTTTGTAATTGACTCTTCAATTTCGCAGAGAAAGGAATAAGATGATGGAATGTATGGAAGTGAAGGTAGAGAAATTCACACTGTATTTAAGGTGAGACTAAGGGAGTATATGATAGAGGTCTATAAAATGATGACTGGTTTGAAAAAAAGTAAATATAGAAAAGTTATCTACTTATACCCACAATATAAAAACTAGGAAATGAGATTAATAGGAAGCAAGTTTAAAACAAATACCAGGAAATTTTTCTTCACTCAGCTCAGAGTCAACCTGTAGAACTCCTTGTCAGAGGATGTGGTGAAGGCTAGTACTTTAACAGGGTTTAAAAAAGAGCTAGATAGACTCAGGGAAGTTAGATCCATCAATGGCCATTAGCCAGGATGGGTAGGAATGGTGTCCCTAGCCTCTGTTTGTCTGGAGTTGGGTGACAGAGGAGGGATCAAGTGAGGATTACCTGTTGTGTTCCTCCCCCCACCCCTTTGGGGCATCTGGCATTGGCCACTGTTGGTCTGACCCAATTTGGTTGTTCTTATGTTCTTAAGGTGTTAATTTTGAAATTTATTTTTAATTTACCATTAGAAGAAGTTACAAAGATTTCCCATCACTGCTCATTTTAAAATCAAGATTTATAGTTGGGTTTTTTTTTTTTCTAAAACATCCTCTCCAATTCAAGTCCAAAGGTGTGTTTCCCAGGAGCTCCAATGTTTCTGGTATTCAGTGACAGGAAGGTGTGCATATGTATATGCATGTACAGACCTAAGAAATGCACACATATTTAGCTAATTGACATTTTTTTTCTTCTCCACATTTAGAAAGGAAAGGAGATCATTCTCCAACAGGTAAGATTTCCTGTAGATGTACTTTTTCATTAGCTAGAAGTGTCTTTTTTTCTTGGAATAATTATATCCCCACCATTTCTTCAGTAAATCTACTTTGAATTCTTGCCTGTTTCACTTCCTTGCTTGCAGTAACATGCAAATAGTTATAACACATCATTAATATTTTTAAAATGTGCTTAAACAATGCTGCACCCACCACAGGATAACTCTGTTTGGCACCTTATTCTCACTGATAAACATTAATCGATCACTGAATACAATATTGGTATTTTTAGTTGTACAAGCCCAGTAATCATCCTATGATTAGATTCAGTATGAGGAAACAGAAGGCATTCTCAACCAGATATGCATACAGTTCTGTCTTCAAAGGGCTAATTTCCCAAACCTGATGAAAATTATAATAAAATTGACTTTAAAAAGTTTTATTGAAAATATGAATGAAAATTGCAATTTCTACAAGGACAGTCTAAGAAGCCCCATTTCAGTAATAACAATAGATAACACTTGGGCTCACAGCTCATTTTACATCTGTTATAGGTGTCTTGGAGACTTACCAGATTCTTCATGGTGGGAGGGAGGGGTCAGCTTTCACCTGCTTTCCTGGCCCCTCCAAAGACAGGGTGTGGCAGTTTTCTCTCTCCCCCCCTTAGCTCATCTGCAGTGGGGCGGGGCTTTCTCCTCCTCCCCCAGTCCCTCTGAGGGAGGAGAAAAGGGGAGTATGGAGAGTGTTCTCCCTCCCCCTTCCCCATATGGCAATATGACAAGCAATTATGGCAACTGGCAGCCCAAGCTAGCCATTCCTTTGGTGACAAAGCTGCCCCCACTAGGCACTTTGCAGTATAGCTGTCTCCGGCGCTCACTGCCCTTGTAGTGGCCATGAGGAAGCTCCATTCCCAGCATCTCCCATTGTCCTGGCACAACCACACCCTAAACTTGCTTTAAATTAGGAGAAGAGGAAGCTGCCTACCAAATTTGATGGCCTTAAATCTTACCATTTAGAAGGAGTCCTTGAACAGACAAACTCACAGATATACAGTCAGACATGCAGGACCACTGTGTGTCATACTTGCCTTTTTATTAATTAGTAGTTATTAATTTTGTATATATATACAGATAACTGTGGTTTCTTCTAGACATAGATTATGGCATGCACATTGTCTCATCTACTCTCTCACAACTGTTCTCTAATCAGGCAGTACATCTTTCAGTATTGGTTTTTAATTATTATTAGTTACCTTCCTCTTTTCTGTATTATGATAAAATGTGTTGTTCTTATTAATAGAGACATTTTCATTTTTAGAAAACTGGGAGAAGAAAATAAGTAAGCCTGTGTCCATTTTTTTCTTCTTTTTACTCTAATGACCTGTGAGTGTCTTGAAGCAGGAGAAGTAAATGGCTGATTCATTATTAACCACTGTTCTTTTCTTCTGCTTTTGCTGGAGATGTTTCTAACTCTTACTTTGCTAGCACCATAAGTGAATATTTGCTATATGTCCACACTTATGCTCATAGGTTGTTGAAATTTAAATAGACTTTCCCATTATTATTTTGAATCCCACAAGAACCTTAAAACCTTGTACACAGAGACAAAGAACAATCGATAATGGGCATGTAAAAGGACTCTGCACTGAGATGGAAATGAAATACAGGCTGTGATATCATGGGTGTTACTGTATCTTTCACAGCAGATACCATGTATTAAAGGAGCTTCATTTTCCATACTTGCCTCTTTTAATAATTAGTTGTGGTCATGAAGTTTCTTATTTCATGCATTAAAAATATAGAATCTTGACTTTCCACTATGTAGGGGAATGGGCATGAGATGAGATCACAGATCCAATAGTCAGAGATGGTTCTGTGCCTCTCATCAACCATGGCCCATATTTATAGTACTCATTAAAGAAATAATCCCACTTCTCCCATTCAGTTTGTAGCTAAATGAACATTCATTGAACTCTTTTCTGTTTCTCCCCCATTTCTTTTACAGAGGATCTCGAGGACAAAATAGGTGAGTTTGACTAGTTTACTGAATGGTTGCAGTCTATATAACAAAAATTCTGGTACTTTATGTGTTCCGATTTCTCCACCTTCAGCAGGGATATTCTTATATTGCTTGTGTTCAGTGAAGAGGGACAGAATAAATCCTATCAACGTTATTGGCTTTTTTCTTGTCTCTTTAGAAAAAAAAAGTTGCCAAGGCTATGTTGCTGGTCAGTGGCTGAAGATGAGGAAGCGAAATATTGAGATTAAAATAAGGTGTCACTTTTTACCAGTGAGAGTAATTAGCTCTCTGAACAGATCACCAGATATCAAGATGCTTGCTGCATCATTCAAGTTTTTGCAGTCAGATTAAATTTTTTTTCTGAATGATCAGCTCTGGTTCAAAACAGTTCTATAGTTTTTTTTCCACCTCCCCCCCCCTTGTAATAATTGTTTACATTAGATGTGATAATAAATAAGGGTATGTCTACACTAGCTCATTAGTTTGAGCTAAGTAGGCAAATCGGGCAACCGGAGTTGCAAATGAAGCCCGGGATTTAAATATCCCGGGCTTCATTTGCATGTTCCTGGGCGCCGCCATTTTTAAATCCCCCTTAGTCCAAACTAACTGCCTGCAGCTAGCTGCGGCAGTTAAACGTTAGTTCGAACTAAGGACATCTATACTGTGCTTTGCATCTACACCGTCAAGTCGACAAAGCAGCTTGCTTTGTCGACAGAACTGGCTATAGTCTAGACACTCTTTGTCGACAAAAGCCTTATAGCCTAGATGTACCCTTACAGCCCAACTTATGAAGTATTCATTAGAATGCCTAGAAGTAATAAAATGGATTGCCATTTAATATTTCTAACATCTCATGAATAGAATATACATGTTCAGTGGTTGTCCTCTGTTGCAAAATATATTTCTATGAATATGGCATGTAGAATCACAATCATAAACCTACTTTCTTATCTCTCACTATGTATTGAGCTACATTGCTAATTAATGGTAAGAAGATGGTCATGAAACAACAGCCCTATCACCTGAATGGCTAATAAAGATTCTGTGAGACTTAGTTGTTATAGTATTTAAAAGGATCCCAATCCATCTATGCAGTCTGTACAGAAATGGCATGAAGTGATTCTTTTCTTCTCTCCCTTCTATTTTTTCAGAGAAACTTCAAGAGGAGATGGGTGAGTTTATTCATGTTACTGAACATTGTCACTAAAACAGCAAATCCTTTATTCTTTGTGTGGTTTTATGAAGCTCCATAACACTACAGGAGTACCGTACTGTGCTTAGATGGCATAGAAGCCTGGGGAGAGGAAGGGCCAACCAAGAGGTCTCCTAGTGCATCATTGAGCTGAGCCCTCTGCAGATCTCTGCAAAAAAATGCATAAAGGAGAGGATTAAGGGCAGTCTGAGTTTTAGCACATTTGCCTGCTCCATGAGGTGAACCTGCCTGCTCCTCTCAGAGCTCTGGATGCAGAGTTCAGCAAGACAGAGTTCCTAAAGCTCGGCATTAGCTGTGATAGCTGAGGCCATGCAGACACCCACAGCTTTACAGAGAGGTACAGAGAGAGGACAGTGTCCCACCAACCCATGGAACCCATATCCTGAACAAAGCACCCAATATTCCTCTCCAACTATGTGGAGTTCCTAAGCGGATCTTAAAGCCTCTTTAGCACCACACTTTTCTGCTGGTCACATAAACATGTTATGGGTAATTAATCCCACAGCGAGAAAGAGAGAGAGAGAGAGAGAGTCCACTCAAGGGACGTTTTTGTCTACATTAACTCCTGCAAAAGGAAGTGCACACTACGTCATTGGCAGCCTCATTTGCCCTCAGTCTGGGACTTCCCTGCTGCTGTCAGAGATGACTGGTTCCTGCTAATACCGCTGACTGCTAGAGGAGCGTAATATACAGTCAAAGCCTCTTTAATTCAGTGTCTGTTGTTTTCTCACTTTCGTTTCAGAATGGATAAGACTTCGGAATGCTGCAGGTAACAGAACACACAGCATGTGGCTAGAGGTGCTAATACTAAGGTGATAGATGCAGCGTAAGAACCTCTCGGCGTGAGATACATTAGAATACATTTGCTAGGCTTCACACGCCAATAATCCCATAATGTTAAACATAATGAGGTCCATCCTGCTCTCAGTTTCATTGCTGATAGGTGCTTTCCTGGCCATTAGTTTAAATGATGTTACTGTGGATCACACTAGTGTAACTGAGCCCAGAATCTGGCATATTTAGGTGCTAAAGTTGTGAACAGTTCAGGATCCCATTTAATTGTGTGTAAATATCCAGCAAGTCTTGTTTCCAAAATAGTTCAGTGGAACATCTAATTGGCAAGTATGCGGCACAGGCCAAGACCCACAGTCTCTACTCAAGTAGAACTCCTGTTGGAGATTTTTTTTTAATCAGGAAAAGGCCTCATGGGGTAAGGTGACCATATTTCATTATACTCAATATCAGATACCTGGTATAATTAATTGTATTCATGTTCAACAGCAATTTATTGTAGACTATTGAAATTAACATCAAGTTGACTGAGCCTGCTAACAAGAAATACTGCTTAGTTGGAGTCTTTTTATTTATCTTTAAAGCTTTAGAGTTCACACAGAGATGTGTAACACACACATCCCTCCCCCCCCCCTCCAGACACGAGGAGAGGTCACACACACTCATATCCCTATACACTTCTGTCACTTTGTGTGTGTGTATGCGAGGGGGAGAGGCGGTAACTGACAAGCACAGCTCTTCCTGCCCAGCACTCTCCACCTTTCATGCCAGGCTAGGCCCCCAGGATGGACTCAGCTCTCCTAGTACCTGGGATTGCATCTTCCTGAGGCAACATGAGCAGGGGCACATGGAGTCACATGCCACTCACCCCAGATTTCTGCCTGAGTTCACACTAGAGTATGGATAGTAGCATCTTTCAGCCTTGTGCAGAAAGGAAGGGACGAGAGCTGCTTCTAGCTGTGAGGAGGAAGAGGAATGGCATGACCTGGCCCATGTCTTTGAAGAGCTCTTCTCTTTCTTCCCTTCCCTCCTTGCCACTCCCACCCATAATCCCTTCCTGCCCCCACTGTGGCCAGGAGTCAGGAAATGGGTTAAGTGCTAAGGCTGGATTGTGAACCAGAATCCAGGGAACCTGCCTGCAGGGGCTTTGGCAAACATGGCCAGAGAAGTGGCTCAGCAGAGGAGGGTTCTTGTGCAACCGGGAAGCCCTGAGCTGGTGGGGCTGAGGGAGAGGCCTCAGTGAAGAGGCTGCTGTGACCCCTGCAGGCTGAGGGTGTGAATGGGCAGGACATCACTTCTCCTCCTCCCCATACACCATTCTAAAGCTTCATTGAGTGGCAAAGGTGCTGCCCCGTGTCAGCAATGTGCAGGGCTTTGACACATGTAGGGCTTGACTTCTTCTACCCCATACTCCCAGCCAGAGGGTCTTGAGCTTTCCCAGGGCACTGGCTCAACCATAGGCAGTGGGGGAAGAAAGGAGTCAGCTGCCCAGTTTGTCTGTGAGCTGAATGCTCTGACCAGGGGCTGAGTCACTGCATAATGCCTGGCATGGGACATGCCCCACTGGAGGGGGGGATACGGAGGAGCAGTGGGGCTGGAGGGGTGAAAGGGCAAAGCAGGGAGAGGACAGCGAGAGGGGGAGTATGTTAAGAGTTGATGGGTGGTCAGCAGAAGGGACATGTAACCGACTGCCAAGAGGGTCTTGAGCTTTCCCAGGGCACTGGCTCAACCATAGGCAGTGGGGGAAGAAAGGAGTCAGCTGCCCAGTTTGTCTGTGAGCTGAATGCTCTGACCAGGGGCTGAGTCACTGCATAATGCCTGGCATGGGACATGCCCCACTGGAGGGGGGGATACGGAGGAGCAGTGGGGCTGGGAGGGGTGAAAGGGCAAAGCAGGGAGAGGACAGCGAGAGGGGGAGTATGTTAAGAGTTGATGGGTGGTCAGCAGAAGGGCACCCATCAGCCAATGCAGCTCCCAGAAAATCTTGGCCAGAAACAGGATGGTGGGAAAGTGACCCTGCTGGCCAAGAGCCAGCACACAGCAGGGGCTACAGTGATGGCCATCGGGGGAACCATCCAGCCCAATGGACTTGTACACCACCCCCATTGCGAGTTACTGTACACTGCCTGAGCAGGGATCCAGCCAGAAACAGAAACCACCATTATTAAGAAGGGTGGGCAGAGATAGGGTTCAGAGTGACTGAGACAAATTGGAGGGTTGGGCCAAAAGAAATCTGATGAGGTTCAACAAGGACAAGTGTAGAGTCCTGCACTTGGGACGGAAGAATCCCAAGCATTGTTACAGGCTGGGGATCAACCTGTTAAGTAGTAGTTCTGCAGAAAAGGACCTGGGGGTTACAGTGGATGAGAAGCTGGATATGAGTCAACAGTGTGCCCTTGTAGCCAAGAAGGCTAATGGTATATTAGGTTGCATTAAGAGGAGCATTGCCAGCAGATCCGGAGATGTCATCATTCTCCTTTATTGGCTTTGGTGAGGTCACATCTGGAGTATTGTGTCCAGTTCTGGGCCCCCCACTACAAAAAGGATGTGGATGCATTGGAGAGGGTCCAGTGGAGGGCAACCAAAATGATTAGGGGGCTGGAGCGCATGACTTATGAGGAGAGGCTGAGGGAGTTGGGTCTGTTTAGTCTGCAAAAGCAAAGAGTGAGGGGGGATTTGATAGCAGCCTTCAACTTCCTGAAGGGAGGTTCCAAGGAGGATGGAGAGAGGCTGTTCTCAGTAGTTACAGATGGCAGAACAAGGAGCAATGGTCTCAAGTTGTGGTGGGAGAGGTCCAGGTTGGATATTAGGAAAAACTATTTCACTAGGAGAGTGGTGAAGCATTGGAATGGGTTACCTAGGGAAGTAGTAGAGTCTCCATCCCTAGAGATGTTTAAGTCTTGGCTTGACAAAGCCCTGGCCGGGTTGATTTAGTTGGGATTGGTCCTGCCTAGAGCAGGGGGCTGGACTTGATGACCTTCTGGGGTCTCGTCCAGTTCTATGGTTCTATGATTCTATGAGAGAAAATATTGAACAGTTTGTCCTTTTTAAAACGTGCTGGGACGCCTGCAAGAACACTTATATATGGGACTATTCCTTTTTAGAATGGGACAATTGGTCACCCTGCCATGGGGTATATTTCCCTCATACTATTGTTTCTACTGGCCTTATGGGAATGAGTCTTACAACCAGATCTCTCTTTCTCCAGCTGACATCACACTTAATGCAGAAACTGCCCACCCCAACCTCTCCGTTGCTGGGGATAAGAAGAGTTTCACACATGAAGCCCAACCTCAAAGAATTCCACCAAACCCAGAGAGGTTCGATGCTACTGTGTGTGTGCTGGGCTCTGGAGGATTCTCCTCTGGGAAGCACTACTGGGAGGTGGATGTCGGGAACAGCACTGACTGGGACCTGGGAGTGGCTAGAAAGTCAATACAGAGGAAAGGGAAACTGTCCCTGTCCCCTAAAGAGGGATTCTGGGTTCTGGGTCTCAGTGGGAAAGATTATTGGGCAAAAACAGACCCATGGACCCGGGTCATAGTGCAGAAAAAGCTCAAGAAAACTGGCATTTACCTTAGTTACAAAGACAGGCAGGTGATCTTTTACAATGGAACTGACATGTCTGTGTTGTTCACATTTAATGATTGTTCATTCTCAGGAGAGATTTGTCCATTCTTTAAAAATTCACACAAGGAAACAACAATGAGAATTTGTTCAGTTAAAGAGGAATAGATTTAAAATGAATAAGGCTGATTTTATTCTGATAAACTGAAATCAAGTTTTTTCATGATTTTTTTTATATTAAAAGCTGATTTTTTTTAAAAAGAATGCACATTGACATGTTGTTTTTATTACATATTTTGCATTAAATGTTTTCATTTCCTATTTTCTTTCTGTTTTTTGTCCAGTATGATAATTCACAAACCCCTTAAAAACAGTGCTTTTGGGGCACGTGATGCAGATGTTAATACAGTTTGGACCTCTCTGGTCTGACACTCTTGGGAGATGACTATTCCCTCATGAGGAAATTTGCCAGACAAGAGGAGGTCAATTCTGTCCCCCCTGTAACAAGTTCAGCTCTGCTCCTGGCCCAGCCATCAGACTCTTGGCCAAGTCTTTCTCTGCCACTGGTCCCACCAGGTTCCCTGACTCCCTCCGCTGGCCCTGCTGGGCTCCTGGATGCATAACCCACTGCTGACAACCAGGTGGGGAGTCCCTTCCCCAGCACCCCTCTGCACCCAGATGGGCTGGAGCAAGCCCTGGGCAGTCCCAGGCTTTGCCTGCCCTAGCCCAGGAATCTCATCCTTCAGGCAAAGGGCTGGTCCAATCAGGGAAGAGACTCTGCCTCCTACCTCTCCTCACCCCAGGGCTGCTCCTGGGGGGCTGCAAGTCCTAGTGCTTCTGTCCTGCCAGTGAATGTACTGGGGACACAGGCATGTGAGGGTAACAGGGGGGGAATGAAGGAGGATGCAGGGGCAGGATGGGAGGGGGCAGGAATTGCACTGAGGGGCATGGGCAATGTAAGGGATCAGCCTAGAGGGTCATGGGGCTGAGGGAAGATGTAAGGGGGGATACAATTTTATGTTGTAGAAGCTGCACTTTCCTTTACTCCCCACTTCTTTGCCTCTCTCCCCAACTAACTATTTGGCAGCATTCTCACCCTCTCAACTTTTCTGCTTACTCGCTCAAACCCCTCCTAATCCCAAACTCCCTCTTGTTCCCATGTCGCCGAACTTCCCTCCAGACCCTGTCCTCCTCATCTCCTCCTGCACCCCTAACATTATTCCACTCACTGGCAGACCCATTCAGAACGCTGAACCCCTCATTTTTGTCCCCAGCTCAGAGCCTAAGGGGGTCTCCAAAATCCACTAACTCTGGAACCCCAGAAAAGTAAATCTGGCCCATGGGAAGCCCTGAACTTCAGTCCTCCCTGTCCCTTCCCCTCACCATGTGGGGCTAGAGCACCAAAAGAGTGACGCCCAAAAGATCTCAGTTGGGGGCCACATCAGTGAGGATTGGGGGGTTTTTCCCACTCACGGGCAGTCCTGTCCCCCACACTGAATCCCTCATTTTTGTTCCCACCCCATAGCCTAAGAGGGGTTCACAAAATCCACTAACTCTGGAAACCCAGGAAAGTAAACCTAGCCTATGGGAAGCCTTGAACCTTTCTCCTCCCTGTCCCTTCCCCTCATCCTGTGAGGCTGGAGTGTCACAGGAGTGACATGTCTCAGTTTGGGACCACATCAGTGAGGGTTGGGGGTTATGGGAGGAGTATTTTTGCTACTCACTTGTGTGGTCTCCAAATGATTTTTCTTTGGATCAAGTAAGAAGAGTTTTCTTTGGGTCAAGTGAGAGGTAGCCATGTTAGTCTGAATCTGCAAAAGTGACAATGAGTTCTGTGACACCTTATATACTCAGGGTATGTCTACACTACAGCATTATTTCGAAATATCTAATTTTGAAATAGTTACTTTGAAATAAGATATTTCAAAATAATGCATCTACACACAAAATACATTTCAAAATAGCGTTTTGCTGCTTCAAAAGAGCACGTCCACTCTGAGTGGACGTTGAATGGCATTTAAGGCGGGCCGGAATCGGGTACGGCAGGGCATTAGATCAGGAGTTACTTTGTGTGGCTGCTGCCTGAGGCTATCTGAGGTCTGTGCTTAAAGGGACCCGCCCCCGCCCCCCCGGACAGCCAATTCTCAGGTTTCCCTGTTTGTTTGCCTAACTCAATGAGGGACAGCAAAGCATTTTGTCTCTGTGTGCTTTGGTTGCTCTCACTCAGGACATCACAACACTTTGCAACATAGAGCCAGAGCCACCCGTGGGCACTCTGTTGCTTCTCTCGGACACGTTGCTACGAGCCCAGCTGCACTTTCTGCAGACTGCCATGAGGAAAGTCCATTGAGGGTCTGTCAGTATCCAGGAGGCCCTGCGGGAGAGCTTCCACCTTGAGGAAAACTAACAGTCTTCCTGGTCTGCCCCACTGGGGGCTTGTGCCTCATTCCTCCCTCCCTTACCTCCCTTCCTGATGTTAAATAAAATACACGTATTTTCATGAACACAAACTCTCTTTATTTAACAAACTTGGCAGAGGGGTGAAACTCTGGTGAAAGTGGGGAAAGGAGGTGGGAGAGGTGAGGAGACAGGATGGGAGAGGGGAGGGGGAAACCTGGGAGGAGGGAGCTGGAAGGGAGAAACAAGGGGAAGAAGGGGGAGGGAAAGCTCAGGGCTCAGGGTTGGGGGTCTTGCTGAACCAACTTAATTATCATGCAAGCCTGCTCCTGGGTTGGCATGTGGCCTTTGATGGCCCGTCTGGCAGCTATCCTGCCATAGATGGCCATGTTTCTCTATCTAGTGTGCAGATCACGGATATTGGGTGCATGCTTCCCAAACCCGAAGAAGGTCCATGATCTCCACCCTGGACCAGGAAGGAGCCCACCTTCTCCGGGCCCTGGCAGGCTCCTGGGAGCTGGCAGACTGCTCCTGGGCAGTGGTGGAGGGCTGGCTGCCAGTGGCTTGCTGGCTCATGCTTTGGGGCCACTGGGTCAGGGGCAGTGACTGCTGGCCCTGGCCCTTTAAGGGCTCTAGGGAGGGAGAGAGGAAGAGAAGTGTTCTTGGTTGAGGCTGGGGGGGGCCCCCGGGCACCCTTGGGGGGAGGAAAGTTCTTGGTTGAGGCTGGAGTGGCCACCAGGGCACCCTGGGAAGGCTGGAGGCCCCCTATTTCAAAATAAGTGTCTACACAGCACTTAGTTCAAAATAGCAAATTCAAATTTGGTGTTATTCCTCGTAGAATGAGGTTTACCAATTTCAAAATAAGCCCTCCACTATTTTGATTTAATTTCAAAATAGTGGTTGGCTTGTGTAGATGCTAGGAAAGTTATTTCGAAATAACTTTGATGTGTAGACATACCTTCACAGATTTATTGGAGCATAAGCTTCCATGGGCAAATGCTCACTTTGTCAGATGCATGTAGTGGAAATGCCAGAGGCAGGAATAAGTATACAGGAATGAGAAAAGAATACCAGTCAAGAGTAAGGCTAAAGATAAGAGATCAATTCACTAAGGGTATGTCTACACTGCCACCCTCGTTTGAACTAAGGTGGCTTATGTAGGCATTTGAACTTGCAAATGAAGCCCGGGATTTAAATACCCCAGGCTTTATTTGCATGTTCCCGGGCACCACCATTTTTAAATGCCCGGTAGTTCGAACTACCTGCCCACAGCTACACGTGACACAGACTAGGTAGTTCGAATTAAAGCTCCTAATTCAAACTACCGTTATTCCTCCTGCAAGGCAGGACCAACCCCAACTAAATCAATCTCCCAGGGCTTTGTCAAGCTGGGACTTAAAAACCTCTAGGGATAGAGATTCCACTACTTCCCTAGGGAACCCATTCCAGTGCTTCACCACCCTCCTAGTGAAATAGTTTTTCCTAATATCCACCCTGGACCTCTCCCACCACAACTTGAGACCATTGCTCCTTGTTCTGCATCTGTCACTACTGAGAACAGCCTTTCTACAGCCTCTTTAGAGCCACCCTTCAGGAAGTGGAAGGCTGCTCTCAAATCCCCCTCACTCTTCTCTTCTGCAGACTAAACAGACCCAAATCCCTCAGTCTCTCCTCATAGGTCATATGCTCCAGCCCCCTAATCATTTTGGTCACCCTCCGCTGGACCCTCTCCAATACGTCCACATCCTTCCTGTAATTGGAGGCCCAGAACTGGACACAATACTCCACATGTTGCCTCACCAGAGCCGAATAAAGGGGAATAATTACATGTTTGGATCTGCTGGCAATGCTCCTCTTAATGCAACCTAATATACCATTAGCCTTCTTGGCTACAAGAGCACACTGTTGACTCATATTCAGCTTCTCATCCACTGTAATCCCCAGGTCCTTTTCTGAAGAGCTGCTACTTAGCCAGTCGGTCCCCAGCCTGTAACAGTGCTTGGGATTCTTCTGTCCCAAGTGCAGGACTCTGTACTTGTTCTTGTTGAACCTCATCAGCAGGGCTTGACAAACTGGTGAGTAGATTTCAGCCCGTGGTGAGTAGATTTCAGCTGGTCACTCCATGCACCCCATTCACCAGTGCTGTGTGCATACGCAGTGCCAATCTGGCTCATGTGCGGTGCAGGGCTAACAAGTAGCTCTCGCCGCAGTTTCTTGAGCTCTGCTCATCAAATTTCTTGTGGCCCAATCCTCCAATTTGTCTATGTCACTCTGGACCCTATCCCTACCCTTCATGGTATCTACCTCTCCCCCTAGCTTACTGTCATCTGCAAACTTGCTGAGGGTGCAATCTATCCCCTCATCCAGGTCATTAATAAACATGTTGAACAAAACCAGTCCAAGAACAGATCCTTGGGGCACTCCGCTAGAAACCAACCACCAACCTGACATCAAGCCGTTGATCACTTCCCATTGGGCCCGACAGTCTAGTCAGCTTTCTATCCATCTTACAGTCAATTTATCCAATCCATATTCCCTTAACTTGCTGGTAAGAATATTGTGGAAGACCGTATCAAAAGCTTTGCTAACTGTATATCACATCTACTGACTTTACCATATCCACAGAGCCACTTATTTCATCATAGAAGCTAATCAGATTGGTTTAGGAATCTATCTATTGACTTTGATTTTTATCTACTTAGGTGTAAGTACCCATTCTCCAGATACTTAATGATGCTCGTCTCTCAGCCCCCTCCCTTTTTCTTTTTCTCCCCTCTTCCCTTCCCCTCTCCTGGGGTACGTCTACATTACAATGTTAATTCGAACTAACTTAGTTCGAATTAGTTAATTCGAACTAAG